TTTGAAAAGAATATTTTTTCAAGGACCAGTAAAGCGTAGATTTTTAAAAGAATATTTTTTCAAGGACCAGTAAAGCGTAAATTTTTAAAAGAATATTTTTTCAAGGACCAGTAAACCGTAAATTTTTAAAAGAATATTTTTTCAAGGACCAGTAAACCGTAAATTTTTAAAAGAATATTTTTTCAAAGAACTGTAAGGCGTAGATTTTTAAAAGAATATTTTTTCCAAGGACTATGAGGCGTAGATTTTTATGAGGCGTATTTTTTCAAAGACTAAGAAAGGTATAGTAGGAGACTTAGGTTGCGTATAATTGCTGTCAACACGTATACGCATTGATGACCGATGGTATTAAAATAAGTATATAAGGAGATTAACTATCTGGCAAAGATTTTTAAAAGAATATTTTTTAAAGGACTATGAGGCGTAGATTTTTAAAGAATAATTTTTGAAAGGAATCCAATGGCGTGGATTTTTTAAACAACTGTTTTCGAAAACTATCCACTGGCGACCATGAGTGTTGATTTTTTTCAAGTATTTTTGCAACGACTATTTATAGGCTTAGCTTTTTAAAAATATATATTTTCAACGACTATGAAGTTTACGGTAGTAGATTTAGGTCGCGTATGATTGATGTCAACACGTATACGCATTGATGACCGAATGTATTAAAGTAATGCTATAGAGGTGATTGAGAGAGAATTTTTCATAGGCCAAAGAAGTGGATTTGAAATCAATAATTGCTCAAAGTTTGCCAGGGCCATAGACGTGCCTTTTTAGGAACATTTTTCGATGGACTATCATGGTCATAAATACGTTGTTTTTATGAATATTTTTCGAATCACTGTCAGAGTCTTCCATTTAGAGAATAATAAAATTTGGGAGATTACGTATATCGAATCTAGGTTTAAGGATTATAAATTGATCAGGAAAAGTACTGGTGCTTTCTTATTTCCTTTCAAAATTTTACTCCATATTAAAAATATTTTTTTAACGACCATGGGCCTTGATTTTTTATTTTTGCAACGACTATAAAGTTTACGGTAGGAGATCAAGGTTGCGTATGATTGATGTCAACACATAAATGGATCAGGAAAAATACTGACGCTTTCTTATTCTCTTTTAAAATCCTACTTCATATTAAAAACATTTTTTTAACGACCATGGGCGTTGATTTTTTTAAAGTATTTTTGCAACGACTATGAATTTTGCCGTAGGAGATTTATATTGCGTATGATTGATGTCAACACATATACGCATTGATGGCCGAATGTATTAAAACAAAGCACGGAAAGATTTTGAACGTATATTTTCCAATGACTATCAGAACGTAGACTAAAAACCATAGTATGCCTAGGCTATAGAGGTGGATTTTTTTGGAGAATTTTTCTTAGGCCAAAGAAGTGGATTTGAAATGAATTATTATTCAAAGGATGCCAGGGCCATAAACGTGCCTTTTAGGAATATTTTTCGATGGACTATCAGGACCATAAATATGTTCTTTTATAAATATTTTTCGAATGACTGTCAGGGCCTTCCTTTTAGAGAATAATACAAATTTGAGGATCTCATATACCGAATCTAGGTTTTGGGGTTATAAATCGATCAGGAAAAGTACTGATGCTCTCTTATTTTCTTTCGAAATTCTACTCCATATCTTTGAAATTAACAAAGAAAACATTTCTATCCATTTTGGGGCAAAGTCCATTAATTTGGACTATTGGTTTTTGTGGTGTCACCCGGAAAAATAGGCGGCACTTGCCTTGTCTTTGTGCACCAGGCCAATTTATGTTTTTTTGTCTGTTTATTTTTTTGTCGGCTAATTGTATGTAGATTTATAGAGCACACATGTCTCGCAAACGCAAAAAAAATAATTATTTTTTGAATATTTTCACAAGTGTTTGACGTAGTTCATAGCATTGAAAGACGACAAAAAATATTTGAGGCAATCTTATCATAATTTTATGCGAATTTTATGTGACATGCATGCATGGTTTCCCCATAGTCTTCTTTCTTTTTTTTTTTTTTTTTTGAGCGAAGATATTGTGGCCTGTGAAAGACATACACACACTTGCATGTGTGTATACACAATATTTAACAAGAACAACAATTAATTAGCTCATTAGTATGTCGTAATGTTTATACCAAGTTTTTTTTTTTAAAATGAAAAAAAATAGATTTTAAAAAAGAAAATAAATAACAAACATCGAGGAAAGCGATGCAAACAAAAATGTTGAAACATTTTTCTTTATTGAAAGGGGGGGGGGGGGCATATTTTATTTTTAAATGACGTTAAACGAGTGGATGGCACGCGCGCAATATATATTTTTCTATATAATTTTTAAATACTTTTAGAAAAAAAATAGTATTGGGGCATATAAAAACGACATGTTCAGGAAAGCGAAATGGAAAAAATAGGCTAAAGAATTTCAGTTAACGGAAAAAATTCAAGCACTATCGTAACCGCATTCGTGACTTTTTTTTAAATATCAGGGTCACAAAGCGTAAATTTTTCAATTATTTTTCAAAAGGCTTATTTCGAGAATCACTCCTTTTTCGAAATAATTTTTTTCCATGGACTATCAAGGCGCAGATTTTTAAAGAATATTTTTTCCAAGGGCTATTCAAGGCGTAGATTTTTACAAGATTATTTTTTCCAAGGACTATCAAGGCATAGATTTTTAAAGAATATTTTTTCCAAGGACCAACAAGATTTTTTAAATAATATTTTTTCAAGGACTAAGAAAGGTATAGTAGGAGACTTAGGTTGCGTATGATTGCTGTCAATATGTATACGCATTGATGACCGATGGTATTAAAATAAGTATATAAAGAGATTAACTATCCGGCGTAGAAATATTTTTTCTAAGGACTATCAAAGACTAGATTTTAAAAATAATGTTTTTTCCGAAGATTGATAGTCCTTGGAAGCGTAGATTTTTGACCATGGTTTTTTTAAGAATATTTTTTTTGAAGACTATCAATGCGTAGATTTTTAAAGAATTTTTTTCCAAGGTGTAGGGATTTAAAGAAAACTTTTTCGAATGAATATCAAGGCGTAGATTTTAAAATCTAAATCTGAACCGATTTCAACAAAACTTTGAATACGCCATTCTATACTCAATACTCGATGGCAAATTTCGTGTAAATCGAAGAAACATGGGCTCTATGGTGCACCATTTACATAAAATTGGAAAATATATAAGATAGCTATATCTAAATCTGAACCAATTTGAACCAAATTTGGCATACAACACTCCAGACTCTGTTCTATGCGCTATGCAAATTTTCGTCTCAAACGGACGAAAATATATGGGAGCTATATTTAAATCCGAACCGATTTGGACAAAACTTAGCACACGTCATTCTATTCTCAATTCAATACGCTATGCACAATTTCGTCTCAGTCGGATACACATAGGCTCGATGGTACATCATTTACCTAAAATCGGACGAAAATATATATATAGGAGCTATATCTAAATCGGAACCGATTTCAACAAAACTTTACATACATCATTCTATACTCTATTGACTACTCTTTGCCAAATTTCGTCTTAATCGGACAAGTAATGGGAGTTTGTTGCTCCGCATACATAAAATCGGAGGAAAATATAGATGGGAGCTATATCTAAATCTGAACCGATTCCAACAAAACTTTACACACATCATTTAAGACTAAATTGAATATGCTATGCAAAATTTCGTCTCAATCGAACGAAAAATTGGAGATTGGTGCACCATTTACTTAAAATCGGACATAAATATATATGGTAGCTATATTTAAATCTGAACCGATTTCTAAAAAATTTTACACACTTCAATATAGACTCAATTCGGTACGATATACAAAATTTCGTCTCAATCGGTCAAATAATGGGACTTTGGTGCACCATTTTCATAAAATCGGACGAAAATATATATGGGAGCCATATCTAAATCTGAACCGATTTCAACAAAATTTGACACACGTCTATCTAGCCTCAATTCAATACTCTATGTAAAATTTCGTCTCAATCGGATGAAAAATTGGAGTTTGCTGCGCCATTTTCATAAAATCGGATGAAAATATATATGGGAGCTATATCTAATTCTGAACCGATTTCAACAAAACTTTACACACACACAATTCATTACTCTATACCAAATTTGGTGTAAATCGAACAAACATAGGATCTTTTGTGCACCATTTACATAAAATCGGACAAAAATATAAAAGGGGACCTATATGGGCCAAATAAAAAAGGTGTACCACATTTTATCCAATTCGAATTATAATTGGGACCCGATATTTGTCCACGATAATATATAGACGGACATACATATACACAAAGACATAGTATCCTCCACCACAGTGTGGTGAAGGTGAATAAATATCATATTGAATAGTTAGAGATTGTTTAAAATCTACGAGGGAATCTACGAGGGAATTATGTGAAATGCGAAATGAATTTTCATAAAAATACTATGATAGATAAGAGACTTTTCAATATAATCGGAAAACTATAACGACAATTTCAATTTGTTTTGTAAAATGCCTCTGAAATATATATATAGAGGTTGAAACGGAACCACTTTTCTCACATGAACATTTTCTCACATGAACATTTCTCTACTAAGCAGTCATATTTCAGTGAAGCAGATTAAAGTGTGAATAAAATCTCAAAAAAATCTTCCCAAGAGAATGTCGAAAACAGGCTCGACTATCATCGTTTTCAATAACATCATTCGAAGATCACAGGAGCAATGGGTCAGCAGAAATACGAGGGTCACATGTACCAATTTCCACAACAAAAGTGTACAATATTAATGGGGTCAATTTTAACAAGTCCAATATTATATGATTATCAAATCTCTTTTTGTTACAATTGGTTAATTTTCTCTATTTTTTTTTAATTCCAATTAATAATTATTTTTATTATAAAAAAATAAATAATTTAATTATTATGTTTAGAGTTAGAGTTTTGTGTTAAATAATCTACTCGAATATAACGAATTATTACTATTTGTTAATAATTTCGGTTTAGTCGTTGTCCGTGTTTCGGTTGTTGTGACTATTGTTGTTGGTAGGGTTTTGATAATTTTTGTTGTTGTTGTTGTTGTAGTATTACCAGCTGTATTAGATGTGGTAGTAGTGTTGCTGTTACTGTGTTGGGGTATTGTGGCATTTGTCGAACATGTCGAAGAGGAGGAGTTGGTGGAGATTGAGGAACTTCTTAAACTATTAGGATCATGCGATTTTGATGTGGCAATGGTAAAGCCGGCTGTAAAAAGCAACAACAAAATATGGGCATTATAAAAAAAACAATAACAAAAACAAGAACAAAGCAAAGAAAAGTAACAAAAAAAAAATAATAAAATAATTGTTATAAAAATTATAAAATAATATTGTTAAATTTATAAAAAATTATTACAGTAATTGAAAATAACAATTTTTAGCAATGCACATTAATAAATAAATAACACAACAAAACAATTAAAAATATTAATACAAATTAAAACTTATTTTGTAAAAAAAATCGATATAAAAGCAAAAAAGTTCGTTTTTTTTGTTTTTGGCTTAAAATAACAACATTTAAAACGAAATTAAGAAAGAAAAACTAAAAGAAGTACAATTTTTAATAATGTTTTCGTTTTTTTTTTTTCAATATTTCTTATTTTTTTGTGTTAATTGATTAGCGTTTTTCACTACGCATCGTATTCAAAGTTTTTGGAGTCTTAGGGGTTTTATTTATTCTATCTTAATTTTATTAATATATTAAGATATTCTTGTTTGTCTAAACAATATATAAAATTTAGCAGAAAATTAAGATTATATTTGAAAAAAATATATATTTCTATATAGCATTATGAAAATTATAATAAAAACAAACAAAAAAATGTGATGTATGCAAATAAACTTTATTTTTTCGTTTCGTTTTTTGCTTTTGTTTCGATTTTTTCTTAAAATTTTTTGGTTTTGCAATTAATTTGTTTAAAGAGAAGCCAAACTTAAAACTAAATTTTGCTTTATACATTTCGTTAACATGGTGTGCTATAAAAATATAAAAATTTCTACAGTAGTATGGATTGGTTTAAAGAGTGAGGTTATGATCAAAATATGTACATAATTTTGAATTACAAACAAATTATATACAATTGTAAAAAATCTATTGTTCAACATTAATATACCATAAACCTTTAATATTAATTTTTGGGATCTTCAATTAATAAAAAAATCCTCAAAATACCGAACATTGAGAGTACTACTATATGGGGACTATACCTAAAAGTGGACTGATATTGATAATTACAGCGAAGTCGGTACACAATCATGAAAAAAACCGAAAAGCTTAGTTAGGGTATCGTTACGCAGATCAAATAAACTGTCTTCGAACTTGATATGTTTGAAGACAAAACACAACTCTATTCAACATTTCAGCATCCTATATTAATTTATTCTGAATGGCCACAGACGGGCAAGGCCAGATATATATATTTTATACGGCCGGAAATAAATAACGAACGGAGGATATAAAAAAATGTTGGATTAAAAAGTTTTTAATAACTACAAAGAGCAGTTCAAAGAAAGTTTGGCTATTATTAGTCCACGTTTAAATAAAAATAATAAATGTATATTGAAATATTTTCACGAGGCAGATTTTGTCAACAAATTGTCATAACCTCACAATTCAAAAATCTTTAAATTATGTAGCTCAGTGTGTGTGTTTTTTTAGAAAAAATAAAATAATTACAATCAGCACATTGGAAAAAATATGGAAAACTATTATAAAATAGTAATGATATTTAAACATGATCATTTTTGAAAAATTCAAAAGATTTAGAAATAAAATATTAAACAATTTTACTTGTTGTACTTTTATTTTTGTACGTGAGATATATGAAGGGTCAATTTTATAATTTTACAATTACTACAATTCTTTTACAAGAACATTTTTCAATGCATTTTTTAAATTTTAAATTTGGCTTTTTTTGTTTTATATATTTAATTTGTGTGTTGTGATATAAATATAAATAATTTTGAATGTATGTACAATATTTATAATTTATATTTTATAAATTGTTCTTCTTTTAATTTTTCTTTCTTTTTTAGCTAAAATCGTTCGTATACAACTATGTAACAAGACAACTTTTATTTGTTTTTATTTTTAAAGATTAAATTATTTTTTTTATATTTATTAAAATTGATACAATAAATACAATAAAATATATACTCGGACTGATAACACCCCCCTTTTCCCTTAAAAAAAATAATGTTGGTTTTTCTATTTATTACAAACCTACACTAATTCAAGAAAGTCACTTTTAAAATTTCAAGTGAAAATCTCAACAACTCTTGCAGACGTTTCCACGACACAACAACAACTCTTGAATATATAGTCGATTTATTGGGATTGTATCAAGTGACGGCAACAGAGCCTCTCAAAATTTAAGGGATAACTCTAAAACTAATAATCCAAACCGTTTCAAATTTCAACACGTCATGTACATAGCTTTAGTATTAACTAGGATAAATTTAATCGATCAAGATCTTCTTTATTTTCTAACGTGTTTTGTTATCAAAAATAGGATGTTTTTAAAAAAAAAAAAAAAAAAAATCGTTTATTATCTGTAGAAATTTTTGGAATTGGATGTTCCAGTGATCGAAAATTATACTCGTCGACGAAATTGACTTTTAATTACAAAAACAACAACAAAATTGTGTCAATTAATGTTCTTATCCTTTAAGTCTTCCACTGTTTCTTTGCAAAGTTACTAGACTTCAATGTAATGCACGTCCATTCGCCAGCCGATTGGAAATCGTAAAAAATGTTGCCGTTTGAATATTTTTTAGAAGCTCTAGCTTTTATTGGTTTTAAGATCTATTGAACATAAAAATAATGATTTCTCCCGGTTTGATTTGTGATCGTTAATAAAATAATTTAACTACGGCCTTCTAAAAGATTTTTATCGTAACAATTATTATTTGCAAGCCTGGATTGAATTTTAAAAACTAATCGAAATACTATCTGGGCTATATGCGTGTGGTTTTTTTTAGAATAGGGGATTAATAATCAGATAATTAGGCGTGAATTTGTAACCCTATTTTCGAAAGACAATCAGGGCTTTAAGAGTGCGTTTTTCGAAGGACTATCAAAACCATAATTGTGGTTTTGTTTAATTTTTTAGATCCCCGATTTTTTCCGTGACTATAGAACTATTTTTTGTTCACAAATTTTATGCAACTTTCCTAAATAGGATATGAAAAAAATAACGTAGCTACATCCTTGCATTCGGGAGATACAATACATTATTTCTGAAAATTAAAAGTCCAATATCATCAAGACTAAATAAAATATCAGTCACTTTAAACTATTCTTAGTTCTTTCTTAAAAGAATAAAAAAATCGGAGGTTAACGTGCGTACAATTAAAATACGAAGCGATTTAAATAGTTGTATTCACAAATCGGCACTGTATTGATAAAAATTGAATATTTTAGATTTTTCCTTTTATATGGGTCGAGCATTATCAGGTCTTATATATGTTAGTCCAAAAATATATGTTTACTATGTGCATATAAAATATATGCTCTAAAAAATGTTGCTGCTTGTGGGCAACATTGGGCAAAGATTTAAGAATATTGGAATATATATTCGAAAGACCATCAGGGCCATTTGGAGTTAGAGGAACTTTAAAAGGTCTTCTATAAACAGAAAATTTTCCTTCATTATATAAATGAAAATAGGTTTACTCTAAAATTAGGTCCATACACAAATTCCTTTCGAAATTATGTTTTTTTCGACTTTTACCATAACACAAACTAACTACCTATTATCCTCTACATGATTGGCTTTTATTAATTTTAAATGGATATTGTTTTCTTTGATATGAAATGTTTTCTAAAGATAATTGAAAAAGTATAATATGTCATTTTGATCGTGGTGCATCGATCAATAAACTAATTAAAGACATATTCAAATGAAAAAAAAAAAACGTTTATTCCCTAACAAATTGTTTTAAGAACTATAAACTGATTTTCTTGGACAATTTTTTAAGGACTATCAGATTAAGATTTGTTAGGGACAATTAATGCGATAATCGCAATTTTTTTCGAGGAACTTTCAGAGCCATAATAATCAATCTTGTAATAATATATTTCGAAATAATAACAAAGTCATATATGTGGTTTATGTTCAAGGAGGCTCTATAAAGATAGAATACCATCAGTAATTTAAAATCCCTGACATTTTTCATCTATAGAGAGATGAAAATCTGAAAGTCATAAAATATTGCCTATATAATTCAATAAATACTTCAAAAGAAACAGTATCCTTTTTTTCGTTAAAAATTTCAAAGAAAATCTAAAGTTCATTAGGCTTTGGGTTTTTCTATGATTACAAAGCTACTTTGGGTTTGGTATTAATTGATTAGACTAAAAGAAAATCGGTTCACTGTTAACAAATTTGAATATTGTTGAAGAAAACAACATATCAAATATATACAAAATTGTGAAACGTATACAATTATTTGTGTAATATACAATACCATTTTACAATAGTACTACAATAATTTTTTTTCAAATTTGTGATAAATTTTACATTTAATTTGTAATTACTTCATTAATAATTTCAATATTTTTATATATAAAAAATAACAACTCTTGTTACATTTTGTATACGAAAAATTTTTTTTTCTATCTTATTTAAAATAATTATTAGTTCCAAACGTATTTTTAATGAAAACGCCAACAAAAACAACAAAATTCTTTTTAATGTTAAATTAAATAAAATAAAATATTAAATTAAGTTAAAAAAAGTGTTAGAGCTTTTAATAAATAATTTTTTTAAATATATAAGTATATAAAAATATAAATAAATTGTAACAACAATTTTGGTTTTTTGATATAAGACAGGCGGGCCTTACTTTTTTGCGATAAAAAAGAAAATAAACAAAGATGGTGATAAAGAAAAGAGAGAGAAACAAAATCGCGTGAAAAAAATGTTTGATTGATTAATGATGAGAAGAAGAAGAAAAAAGTTAACGAAACCTAAAGCAAAATTTAGTTAATAATGATATTTTTGGGTTCGGTTTTATTTTTAAATAAATATATTTACAAGTTGTGTGTGTGTGATAATAGAGAGGGGGCTTGTTTGGTTGGTTGGCATATGAGCAAAAAAATAAAACAGTTTTCAAATTTAAGTTTTTTTGTTGTTTGATTTGCAAAAAATCACAATTTCATACTTTATTTTATTTCTTATTATTTTTTGTCATAATTTTTTTTTGTTGTAATGTAAATATATTTTAAAAATTATTGTTTTAATTATTATTGGTGTATATCCTTAAAATAGTATTTTTTATTGTTTTTAGGATAAGAAAAGGAAAACGAACAAAACCATTAAATATATATATATATATATATATTTTTATAGAAAAAAATAAAGTTGATTCTGCATACACTTATACATTTGTTTGGTAGGGAAGAGGAAAAAAAGCTGTATTGAAAGTTCACAGGAGTATTGAAAATAATATTAAAAATATATATTTGTTAACTTTCACAATTATCTCTAAAATTGTGTGTGGTTGTTTGATTAACACCAAAAAAATGAACTGGTCATTTTTGTGACACCCTGTAATATAATTTAAAATAATTGTCTAGATATATTTTTATTATGCTATAACAAAAAATCGGAGGTTTTTAGAAAATTGTTTTATATCCATAATTTATTGTTTGTTTTTAACACAATTATTTTTGGTCTAATATTGAAATTTTTCACTACATCTAAAACACACGATGGATAGTTTTTTTTTTTGATTTTTAATAAATGTATATAAAAAACACTTGTTAACATTTTTTGTTCTATAATTATAGCATTTTGTTTCTAGTTTTGTTGTTTTTGTTTACAGACATTATTTTCTTTTCTTTGTATTGAATTAGAATATAAGTTCCACAACTTTGAATACGAGGTTTGTGTGTTTGTGTTTTGCTTTGCGCTAGGATTGCTTATCATTTGTAATTTTTTTTCATTTCTTTATTGTTTTTGTTGTAGGGAAGAGATTTTTTTTGTTTTTGGTTGGCAAAAAATATTGCATTTCATTCATTCATCATTTAAAATTGTTCATCTTTTCTTTTTTAAGATTAGCTAATAATTAAAAAATAAAAAAGTAAAGAAAAATAATATTCAAAAAATTAGTTTTGATAATATAATGAAGCTTTTTTCACGCTCGAATTTTTGAGGAGGGGTTCAAACCAAGACCTGAATGTAGGGGGGGGAAATGAAAAATAATATGGCACGAATTTAATACAAAATTTTAACTAGGCTGCAGAATTTTTGAAAAGGCTTTTTGCAAAATATTCATAGAAATTTTTTTCCAAAGGCGTGGATTAAAAAAAAAATCCACCACTACACCAAAGGCGTGGATTTTTTAAACAAATTTTGTCCACCAATACATCAAAGGCGTGAATTTTTTAAACAAAGTTGTTTCCACCACTACACCAAAGGCGTGGATTTTTTAAAATATTTTTTCCAGCACTACAAACCAATGGCGTGGATTTTTTTAAAAAAATATTGTTTTCCACCACTAAACCAATGGCGTGGATTTTTTTAAAAAAATATATTGTTTTCCACTACTACACCAAAGGCGTGGATGTTTTAAAAACATATTTTTCAAAGAGTACTCAGGGCCAATATATTTTTTAAAGGACACTAAGGGTAAATATTTTTTAAGGACACTCAGGGCCAATATATTTTTTTAAAGGACACTAAGGGTAAATATTTTTTAAGGACACTCAGAGCCTATATATTTTTTTAAAGGACTCCCTGGGCCATAGTCGTGGATTTTTAAAGAATATTTTTTCCAAAGGACTCTAAGGGCCACAGTTGTGGATTTTTAAAGAATATTTTTTCCAAAGGAGTGTCAGGACAGTTGTCTTAGATTTTTAATAGTATTATTCCTAAGGACTATCAGGACAATTATCTTACATTTTTGACAATATTTTTCCCGGGGCCACAGGTGTGGATTTTAAAAGAATATTTTTCCAAAGGACTCTCAGGGTCACAGATGTGGATTTTTAAGGGGACCCCCCCATTCTCGGGGTCAAAATTTTTGTTGATATAATTCGAATCTACACTGATTAAAGAATGTCTCTACAAAATTGAAAATCTCAAGAACTCTTGAAGATTTTTTTGCGAATGGCGGGCACGATAACTCAAAAACTAATAATCCAATCGGTTCCAAATTTTGCAAAGTTCTCTGGAGCCATAGCTCTGGATTTTCAAAGGACTGTCATGACAATCATCTTAGATTTTTAATAATTTTATTAGGACTATCAGATTTTTTGAGAATATTTTTTCCAGGAATATTTTTTTATTTAAGAATATTTTCCCAAAGGACTCTAAGGGCCACAGTTGTGGATTTTTAAATAATTTTTTATTATTTTTTTCTCTTTTAAATCTTCAATTATATATGGCTGTACAAACCTTAACAATTGTCATTTACCAGCCCATTGAAAATTTTTAATAATATTATTTTGCCAAAGAACTTTCAGGACAATTGTCTTGGATTTTTAATAATATTTTTTCCAAAGGACTATAAGAATATATTTAACAAGGACTATTTGGACAATTATCTAAGATTATATTTAGAGAACTCTCAGGACGATTAGAACGTAGATTTTTACAAATATCAAATAAGGACCATCAGGTTTCCTATATGCAGAAGACCTTAGCCAAGTGTCCTGTGGACCATAGACCTTTATCAAGTATCCTATAGGGAAAATACCTTTAGCAGATCTTGTATAGGCAGATCGCTGGCGTAGATTTTTGATGATTATTTTTAATTAAAATTTTTTTTTTTTCAAAAACAATCCATAGGCGTGGATTTTTAAAGAATATTATTATTAATTTAGGTTGCGTATAATTGCTGTATTCACGTATACGCATTGATGGCCTGAGGTATTAAAATAATGCAAGGAGAGAGTTGAGAGTTTAAAAAATATATTTTTTTAGTCTTTTTAAAAGAATATTTTTAGAAGGCCTAATCAGGGTGTAGATTTTGAAAAGAATATTTTAAACAATCTAATAAGGGCGTAGATTTAAAAAAGAATATTTTAAAGGATCTAATCAGGGCGTAGATTTTGAAAAGAAAATTTTAAACGATCTAATCGGGGCGTAGATTTTGAAAAGAAAATTTTAAACGATCTAATCTAAAAAGAATATTTTTAGAAAGACTAATCAGGGCGTAGATTTTGAAAAGAATATTTTTAGAAGGTCTAATCAGGGTGTAGATTTTGAAAAGAATATTTTTAGAGTGCCTAATCAAGTTGTAGATTAAAAAAAAAAGAATATTTCAAACGACCTAATCAGGGTGTAGCTTTGGAGAAGAATATTTTTAGAAGTCCTAATCAGGGTGTAGCTTTGGAGAAGAATATTTTTAGAAGGCCTAATCGGTCTATTTAACCATAATCTCATTTCTCACTTTAAAGGCCTTTTAAATTTTTATTTGGGAATTTTTTTAATTTTGTTTTCATTTCCCTTTTTCTCAAATCTGGTTTGAACAATATTTAATAAGAACAAATGAAATGATAAAGGAAGAAAAAATAAAAATTAAATGAAAACAATATTGAAAAACAAATGAATTTTCGAAATTTAAATAATCAATGAAGGAGCCATTTTATATTATTATAATTTGTTTTTTTGAGTTGAGTTAAACATAAAAAATAAATAAAATTAGTAATTTCTTGTCGAATAGAAAATAAATGAATAAGAAAAAATATGTAATTTTTATAATGATATAATAACATATTAATAATTATAATAATAAAAAAATAAATGGTATTCATATGTTTGATTATGTACGTGAGATGTAATGTAATAGAAAAAAACGTATAATAACAAATATTTGCTTGTGTGTGTGATTTGATTTGATTGTTTTTGTTTGGAGTTTCTTTGATTGATTTAGTTTATAAAATATTTTAAATTGATTTGATAAGATTTTAGATTGTTTTTTTTCAATGATCTAAAAATTTACTCTTTAATCTGTGATATTCACCTCTTGGCAGTGTTGCACCGGTACGTGAGAACATGGATTCCATGTCACTGCCTAAATCCCGTGACATACTGTGACGCCATGGTACACCCATACTATTGGCGGCGGTATTTAGTCGGCTAAAAAATTGGTGGTGGACGGTGTTGAAAAAAAAATTATTAAAAAAATTTAATTAGTAATTATTTTTTAATAATTTATTATATATATTAATCTAAAATAAATGCAAAGGTTAAAAAAGTTTTGATTAGTACAAGAAAAAAACATTTGCCTGATTTGTTCGGGTTAATAACAAATGGTAAGGAACAACAACAAAAAAGCAAATTATTATTTGTGGTGGAAGTAAAAAAAGATTTTATTTGTTGAAAAGAGGTTCTATAAAAAACCAAAATGTTACCTATTCAATTAATTTTGAAGCCCATGTCGCATGTGAAAGAAAATTAATTTAAATATGTAGTAATAGGAGGCGTATGACTGGTGTCAACACGTATACGCATTGATGGCCAGTGATATTAAAAGAACATGGAATAGAAGGGAGAGGGGGAGAGAGAGCGAGAGAGGCTATCAGTAAATTTAAAAAACGGATTATCAAGGCGTCGATTTTTAAAAGTATTTTTAGATTTGGATTTAAGCGCAGATTTTTGAAAATAATATTTTTTTCCAATGACCACAAGGGGTACATTTTTAAAAGGATTTGTTTCCAATGACCACAAGGTGTAGATTTTTGAAAAGAATATTTTTTCCAATGACAACAAGGCGTAGATTTTTGAAAAGAATATTTTTTTCCAATGACCACAAGTCGTAGATTTTTGAAAAGAATATTTATTCGTGGATTTTTAAAGAATATTTTTATTGATTTAGGTTGCGTATGATTGCTGTCTACACGTAGACGCATTGACGACCAGAGGATATATTTTAAGTCTGTAGAAGACTTATAGGAACTCTGTAATGTCTATAGAAGTTTCTACTATAAACGTCAAGACTTTTTAAAGATTTTTTCGCGTAGATTTTTAAAGAATATTTTGAACGATCTAATCAAGGCGTAAATTTTTTAAAGAATATTTTTAGAAGGCCTAATCAGAGCATAGATTTTTAAAAGAATATTTTTTTAATGCCTAATCAGGGCGTAAATGCTTAAATAATATTTTTTTAATGCCTAATCAGGGCGAAAATGTTTAAAGAATATTTTTGGAAGGCATAATCAGGGCGAAGATGTTTTAAGAATATTTTTGAAGACCTAATCAGGGTGAAGATGTTTTAAGAATATTTTTTGTTAACTATCATCAGAATGGGGATTTTTTGAAGAATATGTTTTTAACGTCCACCAGAATGGAGGTCATATAAGGGGATTTAGGTTACGTATGATTGCTGTCAACACGTATACGCATTGACGGCCGTAATTATTAAACTTAGGTATTGAGAGTGAAACTGGCAAGGCCATAAGGGTTGACTTTTTAAAAAAAATATATATTTTCAAATCCTTGAAGACCCCTTGGCATTTTATAAAGAACGTATTTGACTTGTGTAATATCTCCAAATGAACTTTTGGGTAGAAATTCTATGAAAGTATTTAGGAAGACCTCCTGACGGGTCTTCTATTTTATCATTCGATATCTTCTATTTTCAAAGACCTTCTGAAGCCTTTCTACAATTTTTTCTATCCAAAAATATATCTAAAATATCTAAGCCCGTGGAAGTTGATAAAGGCTGTGGATTTTTAAAGAACTACTTTTACGAGACCTAAAATCAGGGCCTAGATTTTTTTTATTTGGCCTTTAATATTATTTTGAAGGCCAAATCAATTAGGGCTAAGGTTTTTAATACATATTTATAGGATATTTAGATTGCGTATGATAACCGTCAGCACGTATACGCATTGATGGCCAAAGGTATAAAAATTAGGTAGGGAGAGAGTTGATTAAAAAAACGCTAGTCTGTAAAAGACCCCTAGAAGATTTACTTTCCTTATAAAATCCACAATTTATAAGATAACTATTCCTATGAAGATTTACTACCACTAGTTGACTTCTGGGTATTACATAGAAAGTATTTGATATGCATATCTCCAAATGAACTTTCTATGGAAGGTATTTTGGAATATCACAGAGGACCACCTGTCTATAAGGGACTTCTATTTTATTTATCGAAAAATATATTTTTAGAAGACCTTCTGAAGCTTTTCTAAAATTCCTCATATCCAAAAGGATCTCTAAAATGTCTAAGGCCATATAGAAGTTGATTTTTAAAGACATTTTTTCAAAGGCTGTGGATTGTTAAAGGAATATTTTTCAAATACTCTCTAGACCATGGATGTGAATTTTTAGAGAATTATTTTTCAAAGCCTGTCAAGAATTAAGTTTTCACAGCTATTTAGACCAACGAAGCGAATTATTTGTCACTTCTCTCTAGGTCAACGAAGTGAATTTATAGAGAATTATTCAACATTTGTCTAGATCGCGGAAGTGAATTTTTAAGATTATTTTTTAAAGACTGTCTAGTTTTATTTTCGAAATTCTGTCTAAAGCCACACAAATTGATTTTTAAACTATTTTCAAAATGCTGTCTAATGGATTATAAAGAATAATTTTTCTTAGGATACTCATGACCATGAGCGTGAATATTTCAAAAGTCACTCAAAGGCTCTCTAAGCCATAGAAGTGGATTTTGAGTGACTTATTTTTGAAAGGCCATCTACACCTTTTTGGAGAATTATTTTTGACGACCATAGGGATTATTAAGAAACGTCCCTTCGAAGAGTAAATTATTAGGATATTTTATAAAAGGAACAATAAACCTAATTAAATCACCCTCTATATTTTTGTGAAGGATATTAAAAACAAATTCACACAGAAATTATATATGTGGACCACAACAGAAATATTCACATGCGACATGGTGGTTGTGATTGAAAACTTACAGGCAACAACAAGTGGTCTGTGGTTTTAGGCAAAGTAAAAATCTACACAAACGACAGAAGAAACTATCATTTGAATTGCTATTCCGAATTTGGGTGGCCGGCATATTTGTTTTTGACCTACAAAGGGGCGAGGGGGTACTCTTGAAACGATTGATATTAAATTTTGATCAAAAAAATAAATAAAAATTCCCAACTACAGAATAAAAGGATTTGGGGGTTTAGTCATAAATTATTGTGCAAAGGGTGGTAGGTGGGGGGAGTACAGAAAAAAAAACTACAATCACAAATTATAATGACTACATATAACAACAACAAAAAAGGTTTGTGGGACTCTGCATGCAAGTAGGACACAGACAAAGACAAAAAATTGAGAGAAGTTCGGTTTTTGTTTTCATTTTTGATTTACTTACACTTGTTTCTTTTCGATTGTTTCACTATATGTATAACTAACTTTAGTTCTACATATGCGTTAGGTGTAGAAGGGTGACGGGCAAAACAAGGTATTGTTTTTAAAAGATATTTTTTGAGGGGACGGACGTATGGGGCAATGTTTTTTATCCGTGGTGTAAATTGGGGAATACATGTGGGGTGGGGTGCATCACACGCACACACACAGAGAACACACAGCCACATATATCAAGCGTAGTTATTTTTAAGCCAAAATGTTTGCAATAGTAATAATAGATAACAACAACAACGATAACAGTTTAACAATAATAATAATAAAAAACAACAACAACACGTCATTTGACATGATTTTGTGGTGATGATTTGTTGAGAGATTTTTTTCGTGTGCAAATATGATAAACAAATTTTATAATTGTAGACACACACACATATGTAGTTTTATTTTAAGGTTATATTTGTTTTAATTTGAATAATTTTTTGGTTTGGTTTTGATTTTGTTTTTTGTTAAAAAGCGCAGCATGGAAATAAAATGTAAAAAGAAAAAAATATATGTAAAAAAATATTCGATTAGCATTTTTAAGGTGAATGCAGTTAGTGAAATTTGTTTTTTTTTATTTCAATAAAATAATAAGCAAAAAATAAAACAACAGAACAACAACAATGAACAATGGAACTTAATTATAATATAATATAAAAATATTAATAATTATAATTAAATAATAATAAAATAATGTTACATCTATTTCATTTTTAAAACTCACCTGCCAAATGGATCCTGATTCCAAAATGGACTCTGAGTCTGTCTCATATTGCTTAGTAAACGACTTGAGCTTGGAAAAGCGGAGGTAAGATCATTATTAACGTTCATGCGATTTGTCAAGGCACGCACCTGAAATTTTCGTGGGGGTGGTGGGGAACATTGTTAAAGATTATGACAAATATTCGTATGTTATTTAGTACTTACACGTTGTAATAGTGTGGAGAATAAATTTTCAGCTGTTAAAATTTCAAAACCATCATCATCATCCTCTTCGCCGGAACTTTGTGAGTCATTGTCTTGACTCAATTTCTTTACTGGCCGAGAACTCCTAGAAGGTGGAAGGAAAATCAAACAAATTAATTATGACATCAATAATATTAGGGCATTGGTTAATAAATAAATAATATTCCAAAAACAATAATAATGGAAATCAAGAAGGTCTGTAGGATATCCTATATAAGCTGAAAAGCTCCAGAATGTATTCCGATGTAAATGTTCTCTAAAAAATTTCCAGGCTTATTTATAGAAAATCTACAGAAAGCTAGATTTTTTTGAAGAAAATATTTCTTCAATGAGTATCAGGGCAAAATATATTTTCCAAGGACCATTAAAGCGTAGATTTTAAAAGAATATTTTTTCCAAGGACCATCAAGAAGTAGATATGAAAATAATATTTTAATATTTTTTCCAAGTACCATCAAGGCGTAGACTTTAAAAGAATATTTTTTCCAAGGACCATAAAGTCGTAGTTTTTTATATTTTTTTCCATGGACCATAAAGCTTAGATTTTTTTAATAAATATTTTTTTCCAAAGAATTTTAAAAGAACATTTTTCAAGGGACTCTTAAGAAATAGGCTTATATTTGAAAAAAAATTTTCCAAGGGACTTTTAGGACATAGGCTTATATTTTTAAAGAATATTTTACAAAGGACTCTCAGGCACATAGGCGTGGTTTTTTTAAATAATAGGGTCTCTCAGGGACATAGGCGTGTATTTTTTAAATACTATTTTTCAAAGTACTCACAGGGACAAAGGCGTGGATTTTTTAAATACTATTTTTCAAAGGACTCATTTTTCAAAGTACTCACAGGGACAAAGGCGTGGATTTTTTAAATACTATTTTTCAAAGAACTCATTTTTCAAAGTACTCACAGGGACAAAGGCGTGGATTTTTTAAATACTATTTTTCAAAGGATTCATTTTTCAAAGTACTCACAGGAACAAAGGCGTGGATTTTTTAAATACTATTTTTCAAAGGACTCATTTTTCAAAGTACTCACAGGGACAAAGGCTGGATTTTTTAAATACTATTTTCCAAAGGACTCATTTTCAAAGTACTCACAGGGACAAAGGCGAGGATTTTATAAAGAATATTCTTTAAAGGACTCACAGGAACAAAGGAGTGGATTTTTTAATGAATATTTTTCAAATGACTCTAAGGGCGTGTTTTAAAGGATATTTTTCAAATTACTCTCAGGAACATAGACATGAAATTTTATTGAGTTTTTCAAATGACTCTAAGGGCGTTGATTTTTAAAGAATATTTTTCAAATTACTCTCAGGGACATAGACATGAAATTTTATTGAGTTTTTCAAATGACTCTAAGGGCGTGGATTTTTAAAGAATATTTTTCAAATGACTCTCAGGGACATAGACATGAAATTTGATTGATTTCTTTTTCAAAGGATTCTCAGGTCAGTAGACATGAAATTTTTTTGATTTCTTTT